ATTGTAAAGAAAAATGCCACAAACACACATATATATTGATTTTAGCCAGCTGGTTTCCTCCTTCTTTCTGCCACAGAGATTTCTTGCATGTTTATAGTATGGTTCTTGGAGGCAGCCAAGAAATACCAGGTGGCATCCGCTATGTTTCAGAGAAAGGAACTGGTAAAACCACCTAAGAAAACCCTATGAGATTTGTGGGCTCTCCATAAGTGACAGGCAACGTGAGGGCAATATACAAGCCAGGTCAATGTGTGGGGTGGCAAATCTACCATGAAGGGCAAACATGGGAGGAAGCACTGTTCTGCCTATGAAAGGTGTTCAATATCTCACTTTTGGCCATGCTACAGAAATGGGAACCAAAGGAAAATGTGTCTTGTGGAGGAATGGGAGGATCCTGGGCTACAGGCCTGCCCCCAGGCTTCAAAACTAGACCTTTTTCTTTCTTGGTGGAAAAATGGAAGCAAGGGAAGGAGGGGAGGAGGAAAGAAGAAAAGAGAAGAGAAGAGAAGAGAAGAGGAGAAGAGAAGAGAAGAGAAGAGAAGAGAAGGAGAAGGAGAGGGAGGAGAGGAGAGAGGGAGGGAGAGGGGAGGGGAGGGGGGGGAGGGGGAGGGGGAGGGGAGGGGAGGGGAGAGGAGGGAGGGGAGGGGAGGGGAGGGAGGGGGAGGGAGGGGAGGGGAGGGAGGGAGGGGAGGGAGGGAGGGAAGAAGAGGGAAGGGAAGAGGGAGGGAGGGGAAGGGGAGGAAGGAGGAGAGGGGAGGAGAGGAGAAGAAAGGAAGGAGAAGAGAGGAGAATAGGAGGGGAAGGAAGGGGGAGGGGAGGAGGAAAGAAAAAGGGAAGAGAGGAAGGAGAAAGAAAGAAAGAAAGAAAGAAAGAAAGAAAGAAAGAAAGAAAGAAAGAAAGAAAGAAAGAAAGAAAGAAAGAAAGAAAGAAAGAAAGAAAGGATTTATTTCTTAGTGGAAGGAAAAGAAGCAAATTCTTTCTTGGTGAAAAAATGAAGGAAGAAAAGGAAGAAATTCTTTTTTGGTGGAAGAATAGAAGATAGGGAGAGAAGGAAGGAAGCAAAAGAAGGAAGGAAGGACATTTTGGTGGGAAAGGGGGGCGGGGAGGGAAGGAAGGATCTTTTTTGTGGCAAAAAGAAAAAAGGATGAGATGGAAAAGAAGAAATAAATTCTTTCTTGGTGGAATGAAAAAAGGAAGAAAAGGAGAGGAAGGCGGAAGGAGTTTTTAGTGGAAAGGGGAAGGGAGGAAGGATTTTTGGTGGGGGGAAAGGAAAGAAGGGGAGAGAAGGAAAGAAGAAAGGCATGAAGGAAGGATTCTTTTGGTGGATGGATGGATGGAAGGAAGAAAGGAAGGAAGAGAAGGAAAAAAGAAAGCTCGAAAGGGAAGAAAGAAAACCGCAAGTGAACGAGTCTTCCTCGCCGTTTCCTCCTGGCTGCGCCCACATCAAAAGCCCAGGAAGGTGGACGAGTGTCTCTAGTGCAGGAGTCAGTCAGTCAATGGCCCAAGGGGAGCCTCCGCTGGCCCCGGATCCAGAGGGAAGGCGGTCCCCTTCTCCCGCCAAGGCGTTGTTACTACAGGGCCCCCTCCCCAAAGGACAACTCCAAAAGAATGGGACCTTGACCCTTATGGAAGCGGGACCGTGGTGCGATGGCGGTGTCCTAAACTGGGCATACCCTCGCCCCCGGTTCCCCAGCACTGAGCTGTGACCGTTCAAGCGCTCTCCAGCTGCACTCATTCTGCCTCCTCTTTTGCAGAAACTTTGATGCACCAAAGGTGCCGGCAATCCTTGGCTCTTGTTTACACCCAAAGTTGTGCCGTTTCTATCCCCCTCCTTCACTTTTTCGTTTCCTGGAAGGAACCCCGTTTTTATCTCTTCATCTCACCAAAAGAGTTTTCGGGTTCTCTCGGCTAATCCGGATCTAGTCCCCGTTGGTTAGTGGGGATTCGTTAGGACCGGACACCACACACCGCTGCCACACTTTTCAGTGTTTGCAAAAATGAAAGCGTAACAACATCGTTTAGGTTTAATTAAGCACATGAATTAAGTCCTCAATTAAGTCCTTAAGTCCAGCCTCCTAGGGTAAAGGTAAAGGCTTGTCCCTGACATTAAGTCCAGTTGTGTCTGACTCTGGGGGTTGGTGCTCACCTCCATTTCTAAGCCGAAGAGCCGGCGTTGTCCGTAGACACCTCCAAGGTCATATGGCCGGCATGACTGCATGGAGCGCCGTTACCTTCCTGTCGGAGCTGTACCTATTGATCTACTCAGATTTGCATGTTTTTGAACTGCTAGGTTGGCAGAAGCTGGGGCTGACAGTGGGAGCTCAAGCCGCTCCCCGGATTCGAACCTGCGACCTTTCAGGGCTCCTCCAGCCTCCTAAATCTCCCTAATTCTTTTTTAAATGTGATTAAAATCCTGTTTCTGACTCCTGCAGAATTCTGGTACTTTTAGTTTAGGGTGGAGCCTTTAACAGCCTCACTAAACTACAAATCCCAGAATTCTGCAGGAGGCAGAAACAGGATTTAAAGTGGATTTTTTCTCTCTAGTGTGATGAAGTGGTATGGCTGGTTCTCTACCACCAAATCATGCAGCTGGCACTTCATTATAGTATATGGTTCCACACTGACCCAATAATGCAGTTCAAGATGCATTATTTGGCAGTCGACATTCATCCTATGGCCCCTTTTACACTGTCATATAATCCAGATTACCAAATAATCCAAATTGTCTGTTTTGAACTGGATTATATGAGTCTACACTGCCAGGTCAAAGCAGTTAATCTGGATTTTATATGGCATTGTAGAAGGGGCCCGTATGGAAAGCCAAAGTTTTCATTGAAAGAAGGAAAACAATGAGGACTGGGTCCTGATTCCCAAAATTGCATTGGTTAGACCGCATCAGCTCTAGTTTCAGATATGCAACCTCATCACACTAGAGAATGAATCCACTTTAAATCTGGTTGCAACCGGATTTAAAGTGGATTCATTCTCTAGTGTGATGAGTCAGTTAGCATGATTCTTTATGGGCAAGCAGATGTGGTAGATGGCATACAGTGTCTCAAAAAGTAGGGCTAATAGAGGGAAACAGGTGCCATTTTTGGACTCCCCAAGTCAAATAGACCCAGAAACAGGGCTAACTTTTGAGACAGTGTTACCTTTGGCAGGGAAAGGAAAGCAAATGCCCATGCTCAGGGGTTTACTAAATTTTCCCCATTGTTTTGAACTACACACATGAATTAGCATAAATAATTATTTTATTATTTGAATACTTCTTTTGGAATTATACTTTTCCTGATTGGAAAAGGTCCTAAGGTTTCCTCTGGTAGATTGAGTATTCTTGACTATGGCCCCTTCTACATTGCCATATAAAATCCAGATTATCTGCTTTGAACTGGTTTATAAGGCAGTGTAAACCCATATATTATACTTCAGTTCAAATCAGATAACGCTGATTATCTGCTTCGAGATAATATGGATTCTATCCAAGATTATCGAATTTGAATTGGATTGCATGAGTCTACACTGCCAGATAATGTGGGATAAGCAGATCACCTGGGATCAGCTCCTGGGATAAGGGTAGCATAGGGCCCCTTCCACACAGCTGAATAAAATCCTACATTGTCTGCTTTGAACATATGGCAGTGTGGACTCAGCTAACCCAGTTCAAAGCTGATATTGTGGGAGATTCTGCCTTGATGTTCTGGGTTATAGGGCTGTGTGGAAGGGCTCTTGATCCAGTCTCAGACTTTAAAAAATAGCTTTATTTGCAGTTTTGAGAAAGTTCTGCACTCCTTGCCCCATTTTTTGAATCAGGTAGAGATATATACCCAAGAAAGAGGGCTAACATTAGAATCACAAAAAATATGAAAAGGGGGGGGGGGGGCAACAGATCAGAAACTCTCCAGCCCTTTTTACACTGCCAGATAAAATCCAGATTATCTCGGGTTCAAAGCAAATACTGTGGATGATGCCAGTGTAGAAGGGGCCTCGGTTGGATTTGTGTGTGTGTGTGTCAGGAGCGACTTGAAAAATTGCAAGTGGCTTCTGGTGTGAGAGAATTGGCTGTCTGCAAGGACGTTGCCCAGAGGACTCCTGATTGTTTTGGATGTTTTACCATCCTTATGGGAGGCTTCTCTCATGTCCCTGCATGGGGAGCTGGAGCTGACAGAGGGAGCTCATCCGTGTGACCTGTCGCTTCTAGTGTGAGAGAACTGGCCATCTGCAAGGACGTTGCCCAGATGACGCCTGGGTGTTTTTTGATGCTTTACCATCCTTATGGGAGGCTTCTCGCATATCCCTGCATGGGGAGCTGGAGCTGACACAGGGAGCTCATCCGCATGACCTGTCCTCGCTTCTGGTATGAAAAAAATTGACCATCTGCAAGGACGTTTCCCAGAGGATGCTTGGGTGTTTTTGATGTTTTACCATCCTTGTGGGAGGCTTCTCTCATGTCTCTGCATGGGGAGCTGGAGCTGACACAGGGAGCTCCTCCACATGACCTGTCCTCGCTTCTGGTGTGAGAAAAATTGACCATCTGCAAGGACGTTGCCCTGTGGACGCTTGGATGTTTTTGATGTTTTACCATCCTTGTGGGAGGCTTTTCTCATGTCCCCGCATGGGGAGCTGGAGCTGACAGAGGGAGCTCATCCACGAGACCTGTCGGTCTTCAGTCCTGCTGGAACAAGGGTGTAACCCATTGCGCGGTTGGATGAAGGAATAGTTTAAGGTCTAAAGAGAACCTTTCCATTTCCAGGAGGGAGGCAACTTCTACTGGGTGTTGAAACCTTGGGTGCAGAATGAATGCAGTTTGACCCCCCCCCCTTGAACTCAAAGCCCAGTGCTATGGGGTCCTGGAACCTGCCCTTGGACTTGAGCACTCTCCCCACTTGGGCAAAGAGGCTCCAGTCCAAGGACAGGTCCCAGGACCCCATAGCATTGAGCCAGGGCGGCTCCAGGGGTGGCAGACCGGCCTCCCTCCCTCCCTTCCCTACTTCCCCCTTTACCTGGCGAGGCGGAGGGCGAGGGCGGCCTCCAGAAGTCCTCCATCTCGGCGGCTCTGTCTGTGCAGAGGCTGCCCTCGCAGCTGGGGGGCGCCGAGGAGGAAGAGGAGGAGGAGGACGAAGAGGAAGCGGAGTCCGTCCCGTCGGGGGGCTGCGAGTCCGGAGAGAAGCGGCCCACGGGGGGCTCCACCTCCGGCATCTCCGCGGGGACCTTCGCCTCTGTCCGGAAAGGAGAGAAAGACCGCGTCAAATCCCCGCACTTGGTCCCGATTCGACAGGAATCCACACTGGGGAATGGTCGCGCTTCGACACCGCTTTCACCTCCGCAGCTCAAGGCTATGGAATCCTGGTGTCTAGAGTGGAGTGAAACGCATCTTGGGGCCCTTCCACACAGCCCTATATCTCAGGATATCAAGGCGGAAAATCTCACAATATCTGCTTTGAACTGGGTTATCTGAGTCCACACTCAGATAATGTGGGATTTCCTGCCTTGATATTCTGGGATATAGGGACAGACAATTGCAGACTTMATCAAACGCGCAAAGAAGAATGATAATAATGACCTCACTACCTCTAAGGATGCTCGCCATAGATGCAGGCGAAACGTCAGGAGAAATGCCTCTAGAACATGGCCCTATTGCCCGAAAAAAACCACAAGAACCTAATGATAATAATGGGTTTGTTGTAAGTTTTCCGGGCTGAATGGCCATGTTCCAGAAGCATTCTCTCCTGACGTTTTTCCCGCATCTYTGGCAGGCATCCTCAGAGGTTGTGAGAAACAGGGCTAATATTCGAACAAAATTATAATGGCCYGTATAATAATAATAATATAATGGCCAYTATAGTAGTAGTAGTAGTAGTAGTAATAATAATAATAATAATAATAATAATAATAATAATAATAATAATAATAATAATAGGAATAATAATAGTAGGAATAATTAGAGCTGATAGGGTGCCATTTTTTGGAATCAGTAGGTCAAATACACCCAGAAACAGGGCTAATATTCGAGTATAATAATAATGGCCAGTATAATAATAATATTCTGTTGGAAACTTGGGAAATGGGGTTTATATATCTGTGGAATGTCCAGGGTGGGCAGTAAGAAGCCAGAACTTGAAACTGCTAGGCCATTAAATGCTAATCAAGGTTGCCAATTGCAACATTCACACCTACTCAAACAAACAAAAGTTCTTTCTCCCGCCCTAGACATTTCACAGATATATAAACCCAATTTTCCTAGTTTCCAACAGACCTCACAACCTCTGAGGATGGCTGATATAGATGCAGGCGAAACGTCAGGAGGAATGCTTCTGGAATATGGCCACACAGCCCAAAAAAATACAACTACTAATTTGTGTGTGTGTGTGTATGTGTCAGGAGCGACTTGAGAAACTGCAAGTTGCTTCTGGTGTGAGAGAATTGGTCATCTGCAAGGACGTTGCCCAGGGGACGCCCGGATGTTTTGATGTTTTACCATTATTGTGGGAGGCTTCTCTCATGTCCCCGCATGGGGAGCTGGAGCTGTCAGAGGGAGCTCATCCGCACTCTCCCTGAATTCGAACCTGAGTCCTGTCGGTCTTCAGTCCTGCCCGCACAAGGGTTTAATTCACTGCGCGGGGGGGGGGGGGTGTCCTATTCCGGCCATGAAAGCCTTCGACAATACAATAATAATAATAGGACTGTGCCATGGCAGTGTGAAAGTGGTGTCCAAGTGCACTCATCTTCCAGTGTAGATAATATACACACGCTTTGAGAAGAGCCACAAAATCCACTAGCCAAACACATGTTTTGTGTCTCTTTTCAGTAACAACAACGATAGCAACACACATATTGATCATAAAATCATAGAATCATAGAGTTGGTAGAGACCTCGTGGGCCATCCAGTCCAACCCCCTGCCAAGAAGCAGGAAAATTGCATTCAAAACACCCCCGACAGATGGCCATCCAGCCTCTGTTTAAAAGCCTCCAAAGAAGGAGCCTCCACCACACTCCGGGGCAGAGAGTTCCATTGCTGAACAGCTCCCACAGTCAGGAAGTTCTTGATGCCTCGAATAATAATCTTTCTGGCTATATTCGACCCGCTGATTCCAAAACTGCCACCCGTTTCCCCCTCTCAGCTCTTGTTTTTCAATACAGAACATATTCCAGCATCTACCACTCTTCCCTTGCTCGCCCATAGACAAAACCGTGATAACCACATCTAAGAAACTGGAGCTGATGTAGTCTATCCAGTGCCGTTTTCTGAATCAGCACCCCAATAACACCAGGAATAGGCTTTAAACACAAAGACATCAATATATTTTCTTTCAAATGGCTGTGAAGCAGCAACAACAACAACAACAACAACGAGTTATGCGAGTGACTCATTTTCCAACTGGGCTCCTTTTCTAGCGTTGAGACACTCTTGAAGCCTCCAATGTACAGAGATTTTGGGAAGAGCCATTGAGTCGCTTGGAATCCAAACACCCGCCAAGAATAGGCACCTGCTTTGGGTCTCTTTCAAGAGGAAAACAAATCAATAAAACAATAAACAATATTAATAACAATTTTTTCGTGTTGTCTTAGTATTTAAGCCTGTTCCTCGGAGTTCTGTGAGGAGCTGATTTAGAAAATTGCACTGGATAGACGATACCAGCTCTAGTTTCTTAGGTATGGTTTTCTATGGGTGAGAGGATGAAGAGTGGGGCATATGTTCTGTAGTTCAAAAAGGAGACTGACAGGGGGAAACGGCCCCATTTCTTTGGAATCAGCAGGTCAAATATACCCAGAAACAGGACTGATATTTGAGGTAACAAAATGTGTGTTGGCTAGTATAAAAAGGATAGTAATGTTTTTATAATAATATAAATAATAGTAATAATAACAGTCGTAGCAACAGCAATAATAATAATAATAGTAAGTACAGGTGAAAGAGGGAAATAGGTGCCTTTTTTGGAATCAGTAGGACAAATATACCCAGGAACATAGTTAACATTTGAGTCACCAAAATGTGTGTTGGCCAGTATCAACTAATTAATAGTAGTAATAGTAATAATAAAAAAGAGCTGATGAAGTGGGGGGGGGGGGGAAACGGGGACTAGTGCCATTTCTTTGGAATCAGTAAGTCAAATATACCCAGAAACGGGGCTAACATTTGAAGCGCCAAAATGTGTGCTGATCAGTATACTCATAATAATAGCAATAATAGCAATAATAATAATAATAATAATAATAATAATAATAATAATAATAAGAAGAAGAAGAAGAAGAAGAAGAAGAAGAAGAAGAAGAAGTAGAGCTGATAGGGTGCAGCAGGTGCCAATTTTTTTTTGGAATCAGCAGGTCAGATATACCCAGAGGCAGGGATAACATTCGAGTATAATAATAATGGCCAGTATAATAATAATATAATCATGGCCAGCGTAATCATCATCATCATCATAATGAGTAGAGCTGATAGGGGGAAAACTGGTGCCATTTTTTTGGAACCAGCAGGTCAAAGATATCCGGAAACAGGGCTAACATTTGAGTATAATAATAATAATGGCCAGTATAATAATAATAGGAATAATAGTAGTAGTATAATAATACTAGTACTATTATTCGAGTATAATAATAATAATAATAACATTTGATAATAATAATAATAATAATAATAATGGCCGGTATAATAATAATATTATAATGGTCAGTATAATAATAGGAATAATAATAATAGTAGTAATAATAATTAGAGCTGATAGCAGAAAACCGGTGCCATTTCTTGTAATCAGCAAGTCAAATATACTCGGAAACAGGACTAACATTTGAATATAATAATAATGGCCAGTATAATAATAATATAATAATGGCCAGTATAATAATAATAGGAATAATAATAGTAGTAGTAATAATAATTAGAGCTGATAGGGGAAAACCGGTGCCATTTCTTGGAAACAGCAACTCAGAAACAGGGCTAACATTTGAGTATAATAATAATAGCCAGTATAATAAAAATAATATAATCATGGCAAGTATAACAATACTAGCCAGTATAATAATAATAATAATAATAATAATAATAATGGTAATGATAATAATATGCCCAGTATAATAATATAATAATGGCCAATATAACAATCATAATCATAACAGTAATAATAATAAATAATAATAAAGTAAGTAAGTAAACTTTATTACGGACTATGACCAGATCAGATAATAATAATAATAATAATAATAATAATAATAATAATAATAATAATAATAATAAATATTGGCTTCCTTTGCCTTTTGTCTAATATATCCGGAAACAGGGCTGACATTTGAGGCACCAGAATGCACGTTGTGCGTCGGCCAGTATAATAATCGTAGTAGTTAAAAAATCATGGTACTGGTGGCAATGGCACATGTCCCTGCTGTTGCGATGAGCCATTTGTAGCCATGCCAAAGGGCAGTCCTTCCACAACATAGACGCCCCCGTCCTAGTGGGAGCCTCCTTAGACGCCTTTTCACCAGCCGGGAGGCTCCTCGAGGTCTGTCAGCCCAGAGTCCTTCCTTTCTTACCTGCGCAGATCTGGGCCAGGACGCTCTCGAGGCTGAGGCTGCCGTGGTCGTGGTCGGGCCCCCGGGGCTGGTGGTAGCTGTGCGCCTTCTTGCTCTTCACCAGGAAGGAGCGGGGCATGGTGCCGGCGGGGAAAGCGGGAGGAGGCGGCGGCGGAGGTGTTGAGGACTGCTCCCTTCAGGCTCCTGGGCGACTCGGAGCAGCCTCCCGGACAGCGACTCCCTTTAAACCCCTCCTCCGGCTGGAAGGCAGCTGCGGGGACAGAAGAGCGGGCACGCCATTGGCCCAGGCGCGGAGGAGGGGGCGTGGCCTGTGAAAGGGGCGGGGCCTCCGCCAGGTGGCATCCCCGCAGGTGAATCCCTGCCCCTTCCTCCCTCCCTTTCTTTGGCGACTTATATTCTTATTGTTGTTATTATTCCTATGATGATCCTTTTCTCAGGCCCCTGCTTTGAACTGGTATATATGGCAGTGTGGACTCAGGGCCCTTCCACACAGCCCTGGATCCCGGAATATCAAGGCAGAAAATCCTACAAGATCTGCTTTGAACTGGGTTTTCTGAGCCCACATGCAGATAATGTGGGATTTCCTGCCTTGATATCCTGGGATATAGGGCTGTCTTGAAGGGCCCTCAGATAACCCAGTTCAAAGCTGATCTTGTGGGATTTCCTGCCTTGATAGTCTGGGTTATATGGCGCCCTTAGATGCGCCTTGAGTCTTCCTTGACTATGCGTCCTTCCTTACAGACAAGCCTTGTATCCCAGGATCTGATCCCAGGTTTTCTGCTTTAAACTGGATTATATAAATCCACACTGCCAGATAATCTGGGATAGATAATCTGGGATAGATAATCTGGGATAAACACAAAATCTGGTATTGGATCCTGGGATATAGGGCCTGTATGGAAGGGTCCTAAGAAAACCGTATGAAATCCATGGGGTTTCCATAAGTCAATAGGAAATGTAAATACAAACAATGGCGATGTCTTTCCTTCTTCACACTGGGAATGACTTACAGAGGGCCCATCAGTCCCGTTTGCAAGCACCCTTTCATCATCTCCCCTTCTTATTTTTGTCTTCAGGTCTATTAGTAGTATTTTATAATAATAATAATAATAATAATAATAATAATAATAATAATAAAGAATAATAAAATAAATAAAGAATAATATTAGTATTAGTCTTAATAGTATTACTGTGTAATAATGAGTAGAGCTGATAGGAGGAAGGCTTCCATGGCCGGAATCACTGGGTTGCTGTGAGTTTTCGGGACTGTATGGCCATGTTCCAGAAGCATTCTCTCCTGACGTTTCGCCCACATCTCTAAGACCACTCTGGCAGGAATCAGCCAGGCCTTGAAGCTGCAATGCTTTGCAGTGCTAATCAAGGTGATTATAATTGCAACATCCACATTTGCCTCCAACAGGCAAGAGTTCTTTTTCCCATCCTGGACATTCAACAGATATATAAACCTTGCTTATTTTCAATTTTTATTAGTATTGAATGGCCTTGCAGCTTCAAAGCTTGGGTGGTTGAGGGGATCCTTTGTTGGGAGGTGTTGGCAGACAAGAGTTCTTTCTCCCACCCTGGACATTCCACAGACATATAAACTTCACTTGCCTAGTTTCCAACAGACCTCATAACCTCTGAGGATGCCTGCCATAGATGTGGGCGAAACGTCCGGAGAGAATGCTTCTGGGACATATAGCCATACAGCCCGGAAAAAACACACGGCGATCAATTATTATTACTATTTGACTTGGTTCCTTTCCTTCCAGGACTTTCAGGAAATGGACTCCGGACAATTCTTGATGACTCTCTCCACTTTCAAGATGATCAGCACTTGGGAAAGTTCCTGCTTTGGGACTGCCATGCCCAGAGTCGTGCTAGCTGGTGGATTCTGGGAACTGTAGTCCAAAGAAATAACTCTAGTCTGACCAGGACACATGCCAGCCGCGAGATTCAGGGAGTCAGGTATAAAGCAAAAGAGTGATCCTTCCAAACAATGTCAGAATTCCAAACTATGATGCGCCTTCTGTCGCAATTTCGAGCACTAAGGATTGTTTTCTGATCGTTCACCAATAAGGGAGAATTAGAAAAAAAAAGGCCTGGTTGGGCCCTTCCAGAAAGCCATATAACCCAGAATATCAAGGCAGAAAATCCCATAATATCTGCTTCGAAGCGGGTTATCTGAGTCCACACTGACATATAATCCGGTTCAAAGCAAATGTTGTGGGATTTTACTCAGCTGTGTGGAAGGGGACGTAGAGAGAGTGATTTTAAAAGGAATTCCTCGCAATCGTGCTAAATAAAACAATTCAGGGATCAAAAGACTCCCTTTTCTCCTCTTCCCACTTTTTTTGGTGTTCTGCCTGTCTATATATACACACACACATACATAATATACATAACATATACATATGTTGATATCACTGTCATGATTTTAATCTGGGGAGTGCGAGGAGACTCCCAAATCTCATGGACAGAAACCAAGCAACAGAAAGGAAGGAGCAGTAAACGTATTAGATGCAAAGATGTTGGGATCTCTATTGAATTACTGCACAAAACATGTTATTTGCGGGTTTTAAAAAAGAGGCAAACTACAACTGTGTCATTAAAAATCAAGTAGGCTGCAATGTCAGGCAAATAGATGATCCAGGAAAACAGTTATCTCTCAACTCAATAGGCTTTCCTTCAGAACCAATGAGTTTGGGGGTTGCCCTGTCAATCAAAGGCTAGGGGCGGTGCCTTAAGGGCACTTCCTATAATTTAGTATTTCAAGTTAGACCTGCCCTGCATTCTGGCTGTGGCCCTTTCCACACAGCTGAATAAAATCCCACATTGTCTGCTTTGAACTGGGATATATGGCAGTGTGGACTCAGATAACCCAGTTCAAAGCAGATATTGTGGGATTTGCTGCCTTGATATTCTGGGTTATATGGTTGTGTGGAAGAGCCCTGAGTTTATATAATAAATATAAATATATTATATTATGTTATAAATATAATATAATGATATAACATAATATAATAATGATATAATATAATAAGTGTATATAATAAATATGATTATATTATATTATAAATTTTCTGCTTTGAACTGGAATACATGGCAGTGTGGACTCAGATAACCCAGTTCAAAGCAGATATTGTAGGATTTGCTGCCTTGATATTCTGGGTTATATGGTTGTGTGGAAGAGCCCTGAGAGTATATAATAAATATATTATATTATATTATTAATATAATATAATATAATGATATAATATAATATAATAATTATATAATATAATATCATGAGTGTATATAATAAGTATGAATATATATTATAAATATATTATATTATATTATAATTTGCATTGTGTACACACACACAATGCAAGTAAAAGCACATAGTTTTTTGAAAATGTGATTTGAATGTATTTAAGAAGGAGAATGAGAGAGTTCCAAGCCTGCAAACAAAACACCAATTTGTGCCAAATGAACCTGTATTCTCTCTTATGGCGTCAACTTATTTATTTCTTTATTTACCCAAAAAATACCCGATGTTCCCAGCATTATGATCTAAAAATCGCATTGCAGTTTTACTGTAAGGCGCCCTTCCAAAAGGATTGAAAAAACGGGATTCCCTATTATGTACGCATTTTTATCTTCTCTGCTGGAAAGGAAGGGATTAAAAATGCTCAATAATCTAACATGTGTTTCAGTGCTTCTAGGAACGATCGGGGAAGATAGGATTGTTTATCGATTATCGAATCCAACCCTATTTGAACGAATGGAAGGTGGATATGTCATCCAAGACAACTGGCCATCTGTCGGGGGTGCTTTGAATGCAGTATTCCAGCTTCTTGGCAGGGGGTTGGACTGGATGGCTCATGAGGTCTCTTCCAACTCTATGATTCTATGATTCTAACTAAAACGGATGAGAAATTATTATTAATAATTATTATTAATTATTAATTATTAATGCTAATTATTATTAATTATTAAAATATTATTAATAATAGTAAAAATAATAATTTATATTAAAGTCACAACAATGCTAGCAATCAAGAGGCATTCATTAGAATTATTTAGAAGGGGCAACGTGGTCATTTTTGCCCCCATCTCTTTGTGGCTCCATCCTGGAGACATTCAAGATGTATAATATAGAACCTGCTTCCCTAATATGTTTGTATACAGAGACGATGGTGTTGAGTTCCAAAGAGAGTAGTAGTCCCATTGGATCAATTGCTGAGACTGGACGTGGTAGCCATGTTTCAATATTTGAAAGGATGTCACATTGAGAAGGGGGCCAAGCTTGTTTTCTGCTGCTCGAGATTTGGACTAGCAATGGATTCAAAATTACATGGAATGTGTTGATTTATGGGACTCCCTGCCTACTTATTGATTCCTGGCAGAATGGGGTTGGACTGAGTGGCCTTTTTGAGTCTCTTCCAGCAAAAAAAGTCAACTAGATTTTGGCCTGCATCAATAGGAGTATAGTGTCTAGATCCAGGAATGTCATGCTACTCCTCTCTTCTGCCTTGGTTAGACCACACCTGGAATATTGTATTTAATTCTGGGCACCACAATTGAAGGAAGATATTGACAAGCTGGAATGTGTCCAAAGGAAGGGTGACTAAAATGTCCAAAGGTCTGGAGAACAAGCCCTATGAGGAGCGGCTTAAAGAGCTGGGCATGTTTAGCCTGAAGAAGAGAAGGCGGAGAGGAGACATGATGACCATGTATAAATATGTGAGAAGAAGTCATAGGGAGGAGGGAGCAAGCTTGTTTTCTGCTTCCCTGGAGACTAGGACACAGAATAATGGCTTCAAACTATAAGAAAGGAGATTCCATCTGAACATTAGGAAGAACTTCCTGACTGTGAGAGCTGTTCAGCAGTGGAACTCCTGAGTGGTGTAGTAGACAGCCTGAGTGGTGTAGTAGACAGTGTTAAGGCGCTTTATGATTCTCTAGCAGAGAATTTGAAATATCTCAAGAAACTACAAATAGGATGGATCTAGAATGAGAAATATAATCCAGATTGGGTTGCTGTGAGTTTTCCAGGCTGTATGGCCATGTTCCAGAAGCATTCTCTCCTGAAGTTTTGCCTACATCTATGGCAGGCACCCTCAGAGGTTGTGAGGTCTGTTGGAAACTGGGAAAATTGGGTTTATATATCTGTGGAATGTCCAAGGTGGCAGAGACAACACAAAATCCAGATTGTCTGTTTTGAACTGTGTTATATGGCACCATAGACTCATAGGCCCCTTCTACACTGCCATATAAAATCCAGATTATCTGCTTTGAACTGGATGATATGGCAGCCCTAGACTCATATAATCCAGTTCAAAACAGATAATCCAGATTATCTGCCTTGATAATCTGGATTATATAGCTGTGTAAAAGGGGCCATATAATCCATTTATACAATCTGGATTATATAGCAGTGTACATCCAGCCATAGCAGTTAAAGTGGTATCAGACTATTATAATGATGTGCCTGGAAGCTTTCACTAGGGACCTCTACTACATTGTATAATCTGAGGGCCCAAGCCCCTTCTACACTGCTATGTAATCCAGTTCAAAGCACATAATCTGAATTTTATATGGCAGTGTAGAAGGGGCCTTGCATTGCTTTGTCTCCAGAATCATGGGAGTTGCAGTTTTACAGGTCTTCTCTGCCAAAGGGTGCTTTCTCTTTTATAGGAAACAGAAGTCCATCTTTTTCTCCAGGCTTAGATTTATGGAGAGGCTGGTGCAGCCTTCCAACTTTCCTCACCAAATAATATAATCTATTCAGGATCTCTCTTGAACTTTCCCCCTCCAGGGATATGCAGAGAAAGTTCAAGGTATGTGAAGGCTGCCTTCTCTTTTCAGTGCAGAGTTTACTATTTAATATCCCTTTCCTACCTGTTAGCTCCCAAACAATCCCATTCTTTTCCTTGGATGGAAAAGCAGCAGGAGGGAGGGAAAGTGAGTTTAGTGTTTGAGTTTGGAGCAATTCCAGACACCAAGGGTGCATCAGCATTGGAGAAGTGATGCGGTTTAACACCACTTTAACTATCTCAAGGCTATAGGATTCCGAAAGTTGTGGTTTGGCAAGGCTTTTAACCTAGTCTACCAAACTGCAAATCCCAGGATGCCCTAGCAGAGAGCCATGGCAATAAAAGTGGTGTCAAACTGCATTAATTCTCCAGTGCAGATGCACCCCAAAGTCTGATTTCCCTTTAACACACTGGGAGGCAGTTTCAGCCCAGTTTCTCTCTGGCTCTATCTCCAAAACACACACACACATCATTTTCAGGGCCAAAGCTGGAGCTTTGAGATAAGAGGCCTGTGAGAAAACGGTTTCCCCAATCCATCTGGTGTGATCTCTCTTGTGGAGGTGTGCGGTGTACAAGAGGGAATTGTAGTTCCATGAGTACAAAAGCAAAGAGAAAGAAGAATCACCCCTAAAGCAAAGGAGACAACAGCCTCCCCTTTACAGAGTTTCTATTATAAACACACCCTCCTCAAACAGTTTAGGTGTTAAGTTGCTGTGAGTTTTTCTGGGCTGTATGGCCATGTTCCAAAAGCATTCTCTCCTGACCTTTCGACCACTTCTATGGCAGGTATCCTCAGAGGTTGTGAAGTCTGTTGGAAACTAGGCAAGTGAGTGAGTTGTTGTGAATTTTCCAGGCTGTATGGCCATGTTCCAGAAGCATTCTCTCCTGATGTTTCGCCCGCATCTGTGGCAAGCATCCTCAGAGGTTGTGAAGTCTGTTGGAAACTAGGAAAATGGCATTTATATATTTGTGGAATGTCCAGGGTGGGAGAAAGAACTCTTGTCTATTTGAGGTAGGTATGAATGTTTCAATGGGCCACATTGATTAGCATTTAATAGCCTAGCAGTTTCAAGGCCTGGCTTTTTACTGCCTGGGGGACATCCTTTATTGGCAAGTGAGGTTTATATATCTGTGGAATGTTCAAAGTGGGAGAAAGAACTCTTGCCTGCTTGAGGCAAGTGTGGATGTTGCAACTGACCACCTTTATTAGCTGGCCACCTTAATTTAATGGCCTTGTAGCTTCAAAGCCTGGCTGCACCCTACCTTTCGAACTGGACTACAGCTCCCATAGCTGGAGGTGGTAGAGTTGTGATCCACCACCTGTATCATGTTGTTGTAAATAATAATAATAGTAATAATAATAATAATAATAATAATAATAATAATAATAATAATAGGGGTGGCTGACAATTGGGGTTATTGCTATTATTACTATTATTATTATTATTAATTTGTCTCCTGCCAGGGCAGGGTGGGCATTGGGCAAATGGCAGGGGGTTGGACTGGATGGCCCATGAGGTCTCTTTCAACTCTATGATTCTATGATTCTAAATGAAGCCCCCAAATATATTTTCCTCTCTAGGGAAAAGGAACCTCAACTTGGGGGCTTTTTCCTTGTCTCTGACATATATCAACTTGCTATTGTTGTTTTTTTAAAGTTCTGACTCATGCTTGGTGGAGGAGGGGGGAGAGAAAGGGGAAATAATAATAATATTAATAACTCGCTGTGGTCTGGAGCCCCTTCTCCTTCTTCAAAACAGACTCTGAATCAAAGAAGCCAAGGAAGTGGGAAGGAAGCGCCCAGTTTGCCTCTTTCTGGGCCAGGCGCTCCATTTCTTTAGAAACCTAGTTTCTTAAGTATTGGGATGGAAAGTTGCTCCAAAATAGCTGAGTGTAAAGACTATCCCCAGAACTTGTGTTGGACTACAATGGTTCTGGGCGTTGTGGTGCACAGCCAATTGCTTTCCAAGCTCTGTCTCTTCCCCCCACTGACCCTTCTTTCCTTGGAGTTCAATAAGATGAGAGGAGGGCAGGTGGAAAGAGAGGCTTACCATAGGGAAGGGAGGATCCGGTCCCTGTCCCCCCCTCTTTCCTGTCCGTCTTGGGGGGGACGCGCAGCCCTTTCCTCCTCTGCTGGTCTCTGAAGCATCGTTTGCCTTTCAGCCGGACTTTTTCTCTTGCTTTCTAAACTCCCCTTCTGAGCTCAGCCCCTGAAACCACAAGATCCACTTCCTGAGCGTTAAGAAGCTGCTTCTCTGCTGCGACACCACCAAACAATTTTACCTTTGCTTTTCTTTCTCTAATCCAGTGGTTCTCAACCTGTGGGTCCCCAGATGTTTTGGCCTACAACTCCCAGAAATCCCAGTCAGTTTGCCAGTTGAAGGCCAAAACATCTGGGGACCCACAGGTTGAGAACCACTGCTCTAATCCCTCTGTTTTTACCTGCTCCCTCTCCTCCATGAATACTTACAATCATAGAGGTGGAAGAGACTACATAAGCCAGCCCTTCCAATCCCCTACCATGCAGGAAAAGCACAAAGCACCCTGAACAGATGGCTATCCGTTCAGCCTCTGCTTCCACCACACTGGAGGCAGTGAGTTCCACTGTTGAACAGCTCTCAGGATCTTCCTAATGTTCAAGTGGAATCTCCTTTCCTGTAATTTTAGCCCATTGCTCCAAGTCCTAGTTTCCAGGGCAGCAGAAAACAAGCCTGCTCCCTCCTCCTTATGACACCCTTTCACATATTTATACACAGCTATCATATCTCTTCTCTAGATTCTCTTCTGCAGGCTAAACATACCCAGTTCCTTAAGCCACTCCTCATAATGGCATAGCCTCCAGACCTTTGATCATTTTAGTCACCCTCTTCTGGACACCTTCCAGTTTGTCAACATCTCTCTTAAATTGTGATGCCCAGAATTGGACATAATATTCCAGGTGAGGTCTAACCAAAGCAGAATAGAGAGGCACCATGACTTCTCTCGATCTAGACCAGGCATGGGCAAACTTTGGCCCTCCAGGTGTTTGCCCTTGCCTAATACCTGGAGGGCCAAAGTTTGCCCATGCCTAATCGACACTTTTCCCTTTTCCGATGCAACACAAAGTCCCATTGGCTTTATTTATTTATTTATTTATTTACCACATTTCTATGTTTCCCAACCCTGGAAAGGACTCAGGGTGGCCATATAAAGGCTATAATTCAATGCCACTCATCAGTATCTCTTACCCAAGTCAAGTTCTTTCCTGAGCATCTCAAGCCAGCCAAGGCTAGTGGTGGTAATATTTCTAATTCCTTCATCTTTTTAACTGCTGCATCACACTGTTGGGTCAGTTTCAACTTGTTGTCTACCAAGGTCTTTTTCACATGGGCTGTTTGTAAAGTCAGGTGTCACCTATTCTGTGTCTATCCATTCCATTTTTTTCTGTCCAAGTGTAGTATTCTACATTTCTCTTTGTTGACATTCATTTTGTTAAGTTTTGGCCCTGCTCTCTAATCTGGTATATATCTCTCTCTTACCCAAGTCAAGTTCTTTCCTGAACATCTCAAGGCAACCAAGGCTAGTGATGGTATATTTCTAATTCCTTCACTTTAACAGCATAAGGAAGTGACTTGTCTGGATTACAGTCCTCAAATTCCCTAAAAAAAACATGGCCACTGTTCCAGTCCAATTGTCAAACTAGACTAGAGTCCATCCATTAAATCAGAGAAGTGTTGTTTTACCAAGTCCTGGTTGATGTTGTGGATGGAGTCTAGCTAGAATTCACTATTGGATCAAGGCCACACAAAATGACCTTTCCCAACTTCTGTTCTGCTGTCCCATTCTCACATCACATTCAACTTTGGCCAACAGAAAGTTCCTCAGATCCAATCAGTGCTAAATATATATACAACACCCACACCAGTAATATTCCAAATATCCTTGAGAACTAGTTGGCATGTTGTTTCACTGATTTCTTTTATCATCTCTTGCTTTGTTGCTGTTATGTGTCCTCACATCAACTTCAGCTCATGGTGACTCCATCTCAGGATTTTCTTGGCAAGGTTTCTTCAGAGGAAATTTGCCTTTGCCTGACTCTTAGGCTGACAGAGAGCAAGACTTGCTCAGGATCATCCAGTGGGTTTCCATGGATAAGCAGGGATTTGAACCTTAGAATTCTACTCCAGCATTCAAACTATTAGGTCAAGTTGTCCCTTTATCTGTCTCCTCTATTTATTTGTTTAAACCAGATTCCCTTAACCTGGTGCCCTGTTGGATGCACTACAATTCCATGTCTAGTCCAGTGGTTCTCAAGCTGTGGATCCCCAGATGTTTTGGCCTCCAATTCCCAGGAATCCTAACAGCTGGCAAACTGGCTGGGATTTCTGGTAGTTGCAGGCCAAAACACCTGGGGATCCATAGGTTGAGGACCACTGGTCTAGCCCAAAACAAAGTTCTCCACGTACTGGAAAAGACTAATTTTGAAATCATATTTTATATGCTTCGAAACCAGAGTGGGCAAAAGATAGTACCCCCAAATTTTTGAAACTTGCAGTTTTTCTTCCTTAAAAAAGAAAGAGGGTGAAGTGGTGTTGAAGGAAGGCAAACAGTCTCTTCTGGAAGTCTCCAGGAATGATAATTGGTTTTAAAAAAAGAGATTTCAGGCTTCTCAGGTGGTATAGTGGCTGGAGCAATGGGCTAGGATTCCCATTCAACTACGGATATCCAATGTCTGGCTTTGGCCATTGTTAGCCTTAAGAGGTAGGCAATGGCAAGTCCCAGAGTTACAAACACCCAACTTACAAATGGCTCACAGTTACAAACACAAAAAGGAGTGAGACAACAGGAAGTGAGAAAAACCTATCCCTTGAAAGGGAAATCCACTCCTGAAAGAGTCATCTTGTGGAAAAGGTGCCTCTAATGAAACTTTCTCACCAATTCTTGTTCCAACAACAAGCCAAATGTTTCAAAATCCAATTATCACAGGGACAGAAATGAGAGGAAATTCTCTGAACAGGAGCACAGACACCAAAACAAACACTACAGGGGTGTCAACCCTTCCCTATGCTATCCAAAGCTTATATATAAATGTAGCTGTTCTGACTTACAAATAAATTTAACTTAAGAACAAACCTACATGACCTATCTTGTTCATAACTTGGGGACTGCTTATAAACAGAAGAAAACCCTGTGACAGGCTTGAAGGCGTTGACTTGAATGCACACAGAATCTGAGAATAACAACAACAATGCCTCCTACCCTGCACTGTTTCACTTAACACATCACTTCTCAAAACTAAAAATGGGCTTCTCACTACTGAAATTTAGCTTTGTTTACTTATTTGGTTTTTCCACCTTCTGGGAAATTTAAGGGTCTAACAATTGTTCTCTGGACTTGCCAAAGTTGCCCAATCCAAATTTAGTCATTTCTTGCTTGCAGTAGTGCCACAATCTACAGCTTGGACTATAAGAATGGACTAATTTCCAGGTAAAATAATATAGCATGGAAGAAGTGGGCAATTTTAAATAGTGTGCTACAGCCATGCTCTCATTGTTGATCTGCAATCAAACAACCAAGCCTTGCTTGCAGGCTGTTTTTCCAGTCCCCTGCAAGTCCAACAGTGATAGGTATTTTCCTGTGGAGGCGATGCTTGCCATAGCTTCATTGGCACTGATGGAAAAGCCCCATGACATCACTCCCAGGCATGTCACCTGATTGGAGGGGGGGGGGCATTTCACAACTCTGTCTTGAATCCTCCATACATTTCCAACTAATTTCCATCTTCAGTGTGTGAGATACAGTAGACTCTCAGTTAACTGAAATTCAAGCAATTGAAACTCTTCAGCAACTGGCAAAAAATTGAAGGAATAATACTTTAAATAAAAATTAAAATTAAACCAATTTGGGCAGAAATGTTGCATTACATTAAGTTTGTCTTTATTTGTCTTTATTTTCTTTTAATTGTTGTATTTAAATATTAATATTTAGTCAATACAGTGTTTATGACATGACATAGTATGGGGTATAGTATTTGTTAGGCGTATTTTGATAGTAACTCTCAAGCAACAAGAAACTACATTTCTCAGACTCCTACCAATTCCCATGGGCAGGCATGTATTATCAGAGTTGTCTGTGAGAAGGCCTTACTGGTACATTATTTAAACTGTTATATGTATTCATATCATGATTTGATCACCATGCTCAATATATCCCATATGAATGGGGGTATTGGAGTAACGATACAAAAGGTTTGCTAGGGTAGATCCTCAGCCCCCCCCCAAATCAAACTCAGCCCCCACCCCATCAAACTCAGCCCCCACAATCAAAATCCTGGCTACGGCCTGCCCATGGGTGTCAGTTAACTGAGAGTCTACTGTGTAGATAGGAAAGGTTGCAACACTACCGCCAATCTCATTCAGAGGTTATCTGCACTGATTGCCTTTAGTGCTTGAGAAGAGACCAGGTGCCACATCCAACAAGCAAACAACACCATAACTGGAGAAAATGGTTTTGTCACTTACAGCCCTTTAGCCTTTCAATGATTGACAACCTGTTCTGGATCATGACTTTCCTCTCCCAAGTTTCACATGGAGGGCCACACTCAATCCCCACAGCCCTTATAATCGTCTTGGGGGATTTCAATATCCACGCTGATGCTGACTCTTGTTCATTAGCGGCTGTGGACCTAGTGTCTACCATGGAGACACTAGGACTCTCCCTCTGTACTACTGGGCCCACGCATCGGGCGGGGCACACGTTAGATTTGATTTTCAGCGCAGGAATTCAAGTGACCCAAGCCTCCACAATAGAGGTTCCATGGTCGGATCACTGCGCCCTGAGAGTCCGGTTGGAGCATGCCTACCCACGCTGCAAGGGCGCCGAGCCAATTTGGGCTCGCCCAAGGAGACTTATGGAACCCAGTAGGTTCCGGAATGCTCTGAGGGATCTGGAGCCTGCCAGCGACTCGATCGATGTGCAGGTGGACACATGGAACATCAGGCTATCCAATGCACTCGACGAGATCGCCCCTAGACGCCCTCTCAGACCCCGCCGAAATCGGTCTCCTTGGTTCACCGAGGAACTTCGACTGATGAAGCGGGAAAAGAGACAGCTGGAGGGCGTGTGGCGAGAACTCCGTGACGGAGCATCGAGATCAGCTTATGAGGCATTCAGGGAATCCTATGAGCATGCTATCACTGAGGCAAAGCGAGTATATTATGCTTCTTTGATAACGTCTGCTAGCTCACGCCCGGCAAAATTGTTCAAAATAATTCGATCTCTAACGACGGTTCC